CAAATCAACTCATCAACTCAGCCAGGGAAACACAACCAGTAGCCTATTATCGCTTTTCACACCTTTCATTATGTGACAATGGCTAGGCTATCGGGTAGCCTACAGAATGCAGCCTATTGGAAAATAATCAAATAACATGGGGTTTGTTGCAACCATCGATGGCACTTGATAATTGCCAGCTGATGTCTCGTTAAACCATCAATATGCACTAAATTCACCCGCACAGCTGATCACAATTGCAACCATTATTGGTTACCTCATTATCGCTCCCTAAAAGATGATGTCGGTGTTACCTAGGTGTTGCCATTGGAACAACTTAGCCCTTTTCAAACCAGACTAAGGGCTGTACAATAGAAAAAAGTATTAACTCGCTTAACATGCCAAATCTACTGTGGCAATTTACCCAACACTTTGTATGAATGGAAACTAATGTTGATGTAGCCTATAGATATTATTTTATTTGCTTCCTATTTATGTTATCCAAAAGTGTCTGGTATGGTAATTTCTTATCAAGATCATGGGGTAAAATATCCCTGCACCATCCATATTTGAAATGTGTAACTTAATCAAGTAAATCGGGGTAGATTGAGTTATTTGTGCCAGATGGCCATTGGCCGGAATCAAACCCACACCAACACGGTAGGACTATATGTGCACACTGAAGAGAGAATATTATTTTCATGATATGCCCTGATCCCAATGAAACGACGGCCCCCACATGGAGAGAAGGAGAACTGCTCATTTTCAGAGATTCACAAGGCTCATTTGAATTTCCTGATGCAGCAGGAAAATTCTCTGCAACAAAAGGGATCAAGTTAAGATCTGACATCTGTACCTTCTCTTCCCCTGTATCCGCTGATAAGCCCACTTTCTATCACTCTACATTTTAAGCTTCTGCCTCCAACCATGGGAAACTCTTCCCCACTTTTTCCTCCCTCCTTATTCCTCCCTCCTCCCTTTCTGCGGACGACTTTGTCAACCACTTTGAAAAAAAGGATGACGACATCCGCTCCTCATTCACTCAGCCTTCTGAGTCCATTGGTCCCACTCACACAGAACTACCTTACGGCTTGACCTATTTCTCCCCTCTCTCTCCAGATGATATCCTGTGACTAGTGATGTCCACCCGCCCAACAACCTGCCCACTTGACCCCATCCCCTCCTCCCATCTCCAGACCATCTCTGGAGACTTTCTCCCTTTCCTCACCTCCCTCCAACTAATCCTTGACCACGGGCTGCTTCCTCTGACTTCGAGGGCCAGAGTCACTCCCCTCCTCAGGAAACCAACACTTGACTCCGCTGATGTCAAAAACTACAGACCGGTATCCCTTCTTTCTTTTCTTTCCAAAACACATGAGCGTGCTGGTTCTGACCAACTCTCTCGCTATCTCGCTCAGAACGATCTTCATGACCCTAACCAGTCAGGCTTCAAGGCGACTCACTCAACTGAGATCGCTTTCCTCTGTATCACAGAGGCGCTCTACTAAAACTGACTCTCTCTCCTCTGTTCTCTAAAGCTGACTGCCTCCTCTGTTCTCATCCTCCTAAATCTATCTGCTGCTTTCGACACTGTGAACCATCAGATCCTCTTTTCCACCCTCTCAGGGTTGGGCGTCTCAGGCTCTGCACACTCCTGGATTGCATCCTACGAGGCAGGTCACTCCTACTAGGTGGCATGGAGAGGATCTGTGTTTGCACCACGTGCTCTCACTACTGGTGTCCCTCAGGGCACGGTATTAGGCCCTCTTTTCTCTCAAGTTACTCAGCTCTGTCAAATCCTCACATGGTCTCACTTATCATTGCTATGCGGATGACACTCAACTACTCTTCCCCCCCCTTCTGACACCCAGGTGGCAACACGCATCTCTGCGTGCCTGGCAGACATCTCAGCTTGGATGTCGGCCCACCACCTCAAGATCAACCTCCCAGGGAAGGCCTGCCCGCTCCAAGACCTCTCCATCACGGTTGATAACTCCACAATGTCCCACTCCCAGAGTGCAAAGAATCTTGGCGTGACCCTGGACAACACCCTGTCGTTCTCTGTAAACATCAAAGCAGTGACTCGCTTCTGCAGGTTCACGCTCTACAACATCTACAGAGTACGAAGTGGCGCACACTCAAAAATGCTGGGTTAAAAACACCCAATTTGGGTAAATCTTAGAACACAAGTTGGGTTATTTTGACCCATTGTTTTCTTTAAGTTGGGTTGTTGAGCTATCCACAGGGTCAGATCAGAAGACTGGAGGCGTGGCCTAGTAGAGGTAGTGTTTTCATATAGTTATTTTTGGCCACCTGTGAGAATAAATGTCATTCCGGTTCATACGTTCTGTTGTATTGTCAACACATGTTAAGGTTGAACACTGACACTTTTATAGCTTTAATAAGGCTTACACAGGAGTATAAGTTATTTAAGTGCCTATGCATATCCCAATGTTGGGATAGTTACCACTTTGTTATGTTTAAATAATAATGTTATACATTTTACATTCCAATATGTAATGTGAAAAAATATTGAAGGGAAATTTATATTTACAGTGTACAAATATAACATGAACAGGAATTACATTTACCTCGACTGGTGAGCTCGTCTGAGTCGGTGTCTGCGGAGTCGCTGATGGAGATGCTCTCTGGTGTCAAAAAGTAGTCGCCACTGATCATCTGAACCAGCTCCCACCACAACATTACTATTTCTCTCTCCTGGGAATCCATCGATGCAGTATAAAGCTAAGCTAGCTAGCTAAGATGTAGGCAGTAGTGACAGTGTGACTATGTATGATGGGGTTTTGACAGATCTGAAGAGCGAGAGAGAGAGACTGTGTAGCCTGAGGTAAAGTTTTTGTTTTACTGCGGATGATACGATATAGCAGCTATGGTTGGGCAAACAGGAAAATCATCCAATTGAATAGCCTATTGCAGTTTGATTGAAAATATATAGCTAACTAGCTAGTTTGCAATTCATTCCTGATTTTGGGTTTTGATAGAGCAGATAAGATAGTACCGCAAAAGCCTGATGTGATGTGTTACAAGCTAGCATCCACCGAACCGATGTGAAAGTGCTCCGTTTCATTCTACGTTTATAATATTAAAAACTATATTTATACTCTGAATTTGGCAATAAGACATACAGATTATGAAAGCAAAGACATTTTGTTAAAATCAGATGAAACTCCCAAACAGCGAAAAATCTAAATGGACAAAAACACAATTTATATGCAAATTAGCCATAACGACTTCAGACTGATTATGATAAAGTGCGTCACATATCATAAAGTGGTAACTATCCCAACCTTGGGATACGCATAGGCACTTAAGGAACTCAAATTGCGTAAGCCTTATTAAGCTACAAAAGTGTCAGTGCTCAACCTTAACATGTGTTGACAATACAACAGAATAGATGAAGCGGAATTACATTTACTTTCACGGCTGGCCAAAAAGAACCAACTGAAAGCCACGCCCCTTCTAAGCCATGCCTCCAGTTCTGATCTGACCCAGTGGACCATAGCTCAGTGACCCAACTGGCTGGGTCAAAAATAACCCAACGTGTGTTCTGTTTTTAATCCAGCATTTTTTGGAGTGTGGTGCTTGCATAAGGAGCAGCAAGGGGAACAGCCCCTCCTTACCTTCAGGCTATGCTCAAACCATACATCCCAACCAGAGCACTCCGTTCCGCCACCTCTGGTCTCTTGGCCCTCCCACCCCTACGGGAGGGCAGCTCCAGCTCAGCCCCGTCAAAGCTGTTCTCTGTCCTGGTACCCCAATGGTGGAACAAGCTTCCCCCTAAAGTCAGGACAGCGGAGTCCCTGCCCATCTCTCAAAAATGTCTGAAACCCTGTCTCTTTGAAGAGCATCTTAAATAACTCTCACGGCGCACCCCTCCCCACAAAAAAAATAAATGCACTTCTCTTTTCCCACTAGCACTGACTTTGCTGATAAATACTTTGTTGAGGGAAAATGTACTTAATACAATTGTGATCTGTTGTCTCACCTAGCTATCTTAAGATGAATGTACTAATTGTAAATTGCTCTGGATAAGACTAAAATGTAAAATGTGTGTAGAATATCCTAGCCTATTCATTGATCATAGGCCCTGCTTTACAGAAAATTCTGAGATACAGCATTCTATTGCAAGATACAGCTTTGAATTGCAGATAGATAGGCCTAGTGCACAGTTCTTACTCTGTCTGCTTGGTGCCCCTCCCATCTCTCAACGTCCCTCGCTAACTCGCTATGAAAGATGCAAGTGTTCTTGGAAGTACGGCAACGAATCAGTCTCTTCCGTTCCAGAAATACTGAATCTTAGGAGTCGATTCTGCTATCTTGACACTCTCCACCACTACGGCATCGTCGTTAACAGTTGGAAAAATTGCAGAAAAAGGCAAGCGAGAGCAGGGAAGTTCTGTATGGCAATACTTTGAGAAGTTAAATGAGAACGAAATGTAAACTTGGCGGGGTGGAATTGAGGTACAGTAATGGTAGTACAGGTGCAATGTGTAACCATCTGAAAGGGACACACCGTGAGACACAAACCATTGCTGTGAATCACGTGGAATTTTATGAATTTTTCTTATAATTTAATGAAAAAACAACAAAAAATGTGCTGTTTAAACGTTAAGAAAAAATAATCATGGTCAAATGTAGGGAATAGGGTGCCATTCGGGATGCAACCAATTACATAAATAAAAGTAACACAGTCGGCCACATCGGCTTCAGGGGTTTAGATACGGCAGCAGCTATAAGATAACATGAGGTAGCTACTTCTCTGTCGTGACTCGTAAATGTCCTACTGGTAAAATCGTTTCAGACACTGATGTGTCAGTGTAGTACCTGGGTATGTTTGATACGTCCTGGGGACAAAACTCATAGGGACTCAATGGAGAAAGCTGTTATATCATTCAGTGTAGTCCTTCTATTATGCTCCTCATCTCGTCACTGTATTCACAGCTTCCTGTCAAGACTGCTAGAGATTTTTAGCCAATGTCCAAATGTATCAGGACTTACAGGTTCATGGATTTCTTCTTTTTCGTGTGGCCATGTTCAAACTCACAGTTACAGTCAGATTCACTGCATACCTTTGGGGAAAGAAAGGAACACAAAGAGAGAGAGTTAGAACAAGAGAAAGACAGAACAATTTGGAAGAGAGCAAGTATGTGTTTGCGATGTATTCTTTGTCGAAATCCTATATGAATCAAGTGTTTCCCTAACTGCTGTATGGCATTTTAGGAGGGGATACAATTCAAGTGATGCTCAACGCCGGGGGAAAAATGGTCTGCCATTAAATTAATGTGGAAGTCATTGGATCTGAGTTCAAATAGTATTGGTTTCCCTTCAAATTGTGTGTTTGAGCCTGCCTGACATGCCAGATGGGGCGTGGTAGGGTTATATTTTGTTTGTTTTTAATCTTGTCCTTCCTCTACCCTCAACCTCTCCCATCTATTTCTGATCCAGTTTGATTTCTATTTGCCATTTATTTTTAACTGTGCTGTTTCACAAAAGTTCTGAACCTATGTACATTTTAAAGACAGTATATTTTACATTTGTTATCTTGTTGTTATTAGTCCCACCCTTCAGCTCCATTCAACCGCTCCCATCTATCTCTTAACACCATCCATATTGGATTGCTATTTGCCATATATATTTTCAACTGTGCTGTGATGCTTCACAAAAGTTCTGAACTTTTCTATTCTCATAGTTTCTACAGATTGTAAATTAAAGATGAACTTTTTTAAAAGTATTATTATATTATTGATCGATTGACTATGACTTTTCAAATCACCCAGTATTGCTATCTGCAGCGTTAGCTCCAGGTAAATGTTGCAATTCTTCAGCCATTCCTGGACCTGTGACCAAAAACAAACTACAGATGGACAGTACCAAAATCAATGGTCTAATGATTCTGTATCTTCGCAGCAAAATCTGCAGAGCTGGGAAGGTTGTACCCCCCATATATACAGTGGGGAAGAAAAGTATTTAGTCAGCCACCAATTGTGCAAGTTCTCCCACTTAAAAAGATGAGAGAGGCCTGTAATTTTCATCATAGGTACCCGTCAACTATGACAGACAAATTGAGATTTTTTTCCCCAGAAAATCACATTGTAGGATTTTTAATGAATTTATTTGCAAATTATGATGGAAAATAAGTATTTGGTCAATAACAAAAGTTTCTCAATACTTTGTTATATACCCTTTGTTGGCAATGACACAGGTCAAACGTTTTCTGTAAGTCTTCACAAGGTTTTCACACACTGTTGCTGGTATTTTGGCCCATTCCTCCATGCAGATCTCCTCTAGAGCAGTGATGTTTTGGGGATGTCGCTGGGCAACACGGACTTTCAACTCCCTCCAAAGATTTTCTATGGGGTTGAGATCTGGAGACTGGCTAGGCCACTCCAGGACCTTGAAATGCTTCTTACATTACCCGGGCGGTGTGTTTGGGATCATTGTCATGCTGAAAGACCCAGCCACGTTTCATCTTCAATGCCCTTGCTGATGGAAGGAGGTTTTCACTCAAAATCTCACGATACATGGCCCCATTCATTCTTTCCTTTACACGGATCAGTCGTCCTGGTCCCTTTGCAGAAAAACAGCCCCAAAGCATGATGTTTCTACCCCCATGCTTCACAGTAGGTATGGTGTTCTTTGGATGCAACTCAGCATTCTTTGTCCTCCAAACACGGCGAGTTGAGTTTTTACCAAAAAGTTCTATTTTGGTTTTATCTGACCATATGACATTCTCCCAATCCTCTTCTGGATCATCCAAATGCACTTCAGACGGGCCTGGACATGTACTGGCTTAAGCAGGGGGACACGTCTCGCACTGCAGGATTTGAGTCCCTGGCGGCGTAGTGTGTTACTGATGGTAGGCTTTGTTACTTTGGTCCCAGCTCTCTGCAGGTCATTCACTAGGTCCCCCCGTGTGGTTCTGGGATTTTTGCTCACCGTTCTTGTGATCATTTTGACCCCACGGGGTGAGATCTTGCGTGGAGCCCCAGATCGAGGGAGATTATCAGTGGTCTTGTATGTCTTCCATTTCCTAATAATTGCTCCCACAGTTGATTTCTTCAAACCAAGCTGCTTACCTATTGCAGATTCAGTCTTCCCAGCCTGGTGCAGGTCTACAATTTTGTTTCTGGTGTCCGTTGACAGCTCTTTGGTCTTGGCCATAGTGGAGTTTGGAGTATGACTGTTTGAGGTTGTGGACAGGTGTCTTTTATACTGATAACAAGTTCAAACAGGTGCCATTAATACAGGTAACGAGTGGAGGACAGAGGAGCCTCTTAAAGAAGAAGTTACAGGTCTGTGAGAGCCAGAAATCTTTCTTGTTTGTAGGTGACCAAATACTTATTTTCCACCATCATTTGCAAATAAATTCATTAAAAATCCTACAATGTGATTTTCTGGATTTTTTTCTTCTCAATTTGTCTGTCATAGTTGACGTGTACCTATGATGAAAATTACAGGCCTCTCTCATCTTTTTAAGTGGGAGAACTTGCACAATTGGTGGCTGACTAAATACTTTTTTCCCCCACTATATAACATTATATTGGTTGCAATTTTTTTTTATAATAATTTAAATTGAAAAATGTAAAGTTTTGAATCCGGCGTCGTTTTGCGTATCACTTCATAAACCATGTACCATGGAATCGGTACATCAAATATCTCTTCCAAAATATTTTGCAATCTATATGGCACAGCTGTAAATTTTTTGGTCCTTAAATGAAAACTGGAATATTTGTTTAATTTGTCACAATGTTTTTTAACCAATTTTGGTCTTTAATGAAGGGCCGACAGACAAGTTCCTAATTGCAGCATTACCGCAAAAAATTGAAGAGGCAACTGGACGGGGGAAAAATCCCTTCCACTTGCCCTCTTCCATTTTTTTGTGGTAATGCTGCAATTAGTTGGTTGTAATTTTGGGTAGAGCAGACATTTCCATATTTTGTTGTTAGCTCCATGTGTGACATAACTCCACCAGTCCTATTTATGATATAATTTACAAAGATTAAACTTTAAAAAACTTAAACTGAAATCAATTAGTATATTTTAGTTTAACCACAATATTTGTTGTATTATTTGTTCTGTCTTTTCTGGTGGATTAAACTGAAATTGCAACCAACCTTCTATGGCTTGATTTCCTTTTCAAAAACCTGAAAGTGAGGGGTTGTAATCTGAATAAAGGGAAAAAGTCCCTTCTTGAACATTGGGTGAGACAATCTTACTAGTTTGCTAGAGAACCAGTTCGGATTTAAGTATACTTTTTGTATGACTGAAGCTTTTAGTGATAGGTCTAATGCTTTAATATTTAATTATTTCTGTCCTCCGAATTCATATTCATTATATAAATAGGCCCGTTTAATTTTGTCTGGCTTGCCGTTCCCTATAAAATGGAATATTTTTTTCTCATATAATTTAAAAAACTGTTTGCTAGGCGTAGGCAAGACCATAAGCAAATAGGTAAACTGGGATAATGCTAAAGAGTTAATCAGGGTGATTTTTCCACAAATTGACAGGTATTTGCCTTTTCATGGTAGCAAGATCTTATCTATTTTTGCTAACTTTCTATTAACATTTATTGGAGTGAAATCATTTAATTCATTTGGGATATGTATTCCAAGTATATCCACATCACCATCAGACCATTTTATTAGTAAACTACAAGGTAATGTAAACATTGTATTTTTTAGTGACCCAATACGTAATATAGTACATTTATCATAATTTGGTTGTAATCCAGAGAGATTTGAAAACGTATCTAGATCCTCTATGAGGCTGTGGAGGGATTCAAGTTGTGGATTTAAAAGAAAACATGAATCATCAGCGTACAATGACACCTTTGTTTTTAAGCCCTGGATTTCTAATCCCTTGATATTATTGTTGGATCTGATTTTAATAGCTAACATCTCGATGGAAATAATAAATAGATAAGCCGATAGTGGACAACCTTGTTTCACTCCTCTTGACAGTTTCAAACTTTCTGAGAAATAGCCATTATTTACTATTTTACACCTAGGGTTACTATACATGATTTTAACCCAATTTATAAGAGATTGACCAAAATTGAAATGCTCCAGGCATTTATATATAAACCCCAGTTGTACTTTATCAAATGCCTTTTCGAAGTCTGCTATGAATAGTAGGCCTGGTTTCCCAGATTTTCCATAGTGTTCTATTGTTTCCAGTACTTGCCTTATATTATATCTTACATGGATTTATTAAACTTTTTTAAAATGTAGATGTTCCAAAGGTCTGCATCAGTGGCTTGTAGGCTATGTGTGGAAGCCAGGAGATGCTAAATGTGTTTATGTTAATTAACGGTCAATTACCGTGAGACCGACAGTTATTTGCTTGACAATCACCGGCTGATGAAATTTCGTGACCGCCACAGCCCTACATATAGGTTAATGAGACATATCTGTTTATGGTCCAATAACATATTTAAAATCATCCATCTACCTTGAGGATCTGTTTGGACAATTTGCACATTCGGATCAAAGTTACTGTTAATTGGCTTCCGGTTGAGCGATGTAGAAAGAAGTCGCACGAGGTCTCTCCTCCGACAACTTTTTGTAAATAATCTTCAATTTAGCCTAAATTCATACTTCTCATGACCTCAAAAGTTATTTTAATTACCCAGTAATAGAGGTATCTAAGTTAGCATGAGCAAACCAGTCACACGCTTTGGGAAATCGACTTCACTACACCAAATCAACTTCAGCTAAAATGGCTACCATCCCACCTTCATAGCCACTCCGGGCGATACGGCTAACCCGATAACACCGGAGATCCTTGTCAGAGAGCTGGAGAAATCACGTGAAAGTTTGGCAGCAGAAGTCACCGAATTGCTGAATAACTCACTGATGGCTGCTCTGGCTCCAATTCAGGCAACCGTGGAAACCATCCGTGGTTCTGTGGCATGTCACACTACCACACTGGCCGAAGTTGAGGCCAGGCGACCAACTCACTATGCTGGAAACCAGGCTTGACGATGTGGACGCTGCCAACAAGTCGATGCAGCTACAACTGGAAGATTTGATTTCACGTTCAAAACGCCAAAATATCAGCGTGATTAGACTGCCAGAGGACTATCATACAGGATCTCCAACCCAGTTCATGGCAGAGCTGTTCAATGAGGTTTTGGGCGATGACGCTTTTCCCAATCTTCCTGAACTCACTCAGGCGGCCGACCACATCCCATCATAGTGCGGTTCCATTGATACAAAGAAAAGGAGCTCGTCCTTCGGTGGGACAAGGGAACACGGCGATATCACTTTCCAAGGCCACAAGATCAAGTTCTACCAGGATTTCAGTTCTAGCCTGGCGAAGAAACGGGCCGCATTCAACGACATCAAGTCCACTCTGTACAAGAAGGGAATCTGCTTTGGGCTGATTTATCCTGCCTATCTCACCTGTAACGGCGAGGTCAATTTCTTCGGAACTCCTGAAGAAGCTGAGTTCTTCTACCGACAGCGCATACATGCCTGGATTGGGATGATTTCGCACCTGCCTGTATTATGTGAGTAACGTTAGTCCTAGTGACCGTGTGGACACTAGGCTACATACATCTATGGCTATTTATCGATCCGTTTCTCGTTAAATAATCCTATGCTAAAGCTTGCTGGCATCGCATAACTAGTTTGTGTTGTTGACAATGACATACTATGCTGTCTCACTGCTCTTTATACTTTCATTTGATCTTGTTTAGTTTCTTAAATCAAAGACAATCGCTGTTAAAAGCGCAGCATTTGTATTTATTTATTTTTACTACGGTTTTGAACTTGCTGCTCCCACTTATGGCAATCTATAGCCCATATCCAAATGAAATAAATGAAAAAAAGTTAGCAAAAATAGATAAGATCTTGCTACCAATTTGTGGAAAATTCACCCTGATTTAACTTTTTAGTATTATCCCAGTTTACCTATTTGCTTATGGTCTTGCCTATGCCTAGCGAACAGTTTTTTTTTAAATTATATGATGAAAAAATATTCAATTTTATTTGGAACGGCAAGCCAGACAAAATTAAACGGGCCTATTTATATTATGAATATGAATTCGGAGGACAGAAATTATTAAATATTCAACCTATCACTAAAAGCTTCAGTCATACAAAAATTATACTTAAATCCGAACTGGTTCTCTAGCAAACTAGTAAGATTGTTCAAGAATGGCCTTTTTCCCTTTATTCAGATTACAACAGCTCACTTTCAGTTATTTGAAAAGGAAATCATCTCCCAAATATCACTATTTCTAAAACAAGCCATAGAAAGTTGGTTGCAATTTCAATTTAATCCTCCAGAAACGACAGAACAAATAATGGAACAAATATTGTGGTTAAACTCAAATATACTAATTGATAAAAAACTATTATTTTTTGACACAAAAATAAAAAAAAAGGTATAATCTTCGTAAATTATATCATAGGTAGGACTGGTGGAGTTATGTCGCACATGTAGCTAACAAAAACATATGGAAATGTCTGCTCTACCCAATATTACAACCAAATAATTGCAGCATTACTGCAAAAATGGAAGAAGAAAGTGGAAGGGAAAAAAGTAAGGAACTTGTCTGTCGGCCCTGCATTAAAGAACATAATTGGTTAAAGAAAATTGTAATAAATAAAAAAGTATACCAGTTTCATTTAAGGACCAAAGGATTGACAGCCGTCCCATATAGATTGCAAAATATTGGAAATAGATTTTTGACGTACCAATTCCATGGCATAGTGTTTATGAACTGATACGCAAAACGACGCCGGATTCAAAACTTAGAATCTTTCAATTTAAATTATTATATAAAATTCTTGCTACCAATATAATGTTATTTATATGGGGGATACAATCTTCCCAGCTCTGCAGATTTTACTGTGAAGAGTCATTAGATCATTTGTTTTGGTACTGTCCATTTGTAGCTTGTTTTTGGACACAGGTCCAGGAATGGCTATAGGAATGCAATATTTACCTGGAGATAACCCTGCAGATAGCACTACTGGGTGATCTGAAAAGTCATAGTCAATCAATCAATAATATACCTTTAGCAAAAATGTTTATTTTCAATTTACAATCTGTAAAAATAATGAGAATAGAAAGGTTCAGAACTTTTGTAAAACATCACAGTACAGTTGAAAAATATATGGCAAATAGAAATCCAATATGGATGGTGTTAAGAGATAGATGGGTGGTGTTGAATGGAGTTGAAGGATGGGACTAATAACAACTAACAACAACTAATAACAACAAGATAACTAATGTAAAGCATACTGTGTCCATAATAAGTATATAGGTTATAGGTTGAGAGCTTTTGTGAAAGAGCACAGTTAGAAAGATATGGCATATAGAAGCAAACCGGATGGACACCATGAAAATGATTGGAGAGGTTGAGGGTAGAGGAAGTTCAGGAGTAAAAACAAATGAAATAGAATTATTGTAAAATTGACTGTGTCCATAAAATGTATATAGAATGTATAAGCTGGAAATAGAGGACTAAGCATTGTTGTTCACTAGTTTACTCCAATTAGAGAGAAAAAAAACATATGGGGGATTGGAAGTGATGCAGACAATTACATTGATGGAAGTTACAATCTATCTGCAATATTAAAGCTGATCCCCCCCCCCGAATTTAAAAAAAAAGATCTATAGCCCACATGGTAGTTTGGCCGCCTTTAGGTCGTTTCGGATACTAATGTTACTCGCTAGTTAGACACCGATCCTGTCTACCGATATTTGTGTTTACAGTGCCTTCGGAAAGTATTCAGACCCCTTCCCTTTTTCCACATTTTGTTACGTTTCAGCCTTATTCTAAAAAGGATACAATTATTATTTTCCCTCATCAGTCTACACATAATACCCCATAATGACAAAGCGAAAACAAAAATACCTTGTTTACATAAGTATTCAGACCCTTTAGGTGCCTTTTGGCAAACTACAAGTGGGTTGTCATGTGCCTTTTACTGAGGAGTGACTTCCGTCTGGCCACTCTACCATAAAGGCCTGATTGGCGGAGTGCTGCAGAGATGATTGTCTTTCTGGAAGGTTCTCCCATCTCCACAGAGGAACTCTAGAGCTCTGTCAGAGTGTCCATCGGGTTCTTGGTCACCTCCCTGACCAAGGCCCTTCTCTCTCGATTGCTCAGTTTGGCCAGATCTATGCTTTGACACAATCCTGTCTCTGAGCTCTACGGACAATTCCTTCAACCTCATTGCTTTGTTTTTTGCTCTGACATGCACTGTCAACTGTGGGACCTTCTATAGACAGGGGTGTGCCTTTCCAAATCATGTCCAATCAATTGAATTTACCACAGGTGGACTCCAATCAAGTTCAAGAAACATCTCAAGGATGATCAATGGAAACAGGATTCACCGGAGCTCAATTTCTAGTCTCATAGCAAAGTGTCTGAATACTTACTGTATGTCAATATGGTATTTCTGTTGTATATTTGTAATACATTTGTCAAAATTTCTAAAAATATATTTTCGCTTTGTCATTATGGGGTAATGTGTGTAGATTGCTGAGGATTTGTATTAATATAATCCATTATAGAATAAGGCTGTAACGTAACAAAATGTGGAAAACGTCAAGGGGTCTGAATACTTTCCGAAGGCACTGTATATATTTTTTATTACAATCCCTACCATGGCTAGTATTGGGTGTTCCTTTATTCGACTCCTCTATGGGAACTTTGTAATATTTAGAATAGCCATGGAGTAGTCTTTGTGTCTCGGAACATCCGGTTAGTTTATCGACTACGAGAGCTACTCATTTCCCTTTTCATATTTTCTCCTTGAAGATTGGGTACATAACTTTGTTTCCTTCGGGAACTGAACATTCATGCCTATTTTCGTGCCAGCAAGTCTATAACCCAGGCTTTTAACCATTATTTTATCTTTAAAGAAAGCACATTTGGCAATGATTTGGTGCTCATATCTCTGTCCGAAACGGTGTACACGTTCAACTTGGATTTTGTCGACAGCTTCGCGTGGGATCTGAAGCGCTGTAAGGAGGGAACTCCCTCACTACACCCTCAGGAACTTCTCCTTCTTTCTCATGGATACCAGTAAGTACCACATTTTCTCTCATAGATCTAGTCTGTATGTCAAGTAAGGCTTCTCTCAGAAAGATGTTCTTCTTTTTAAGTTCATTAACGTCCGTTTCAACCTTATTGACTGTCCCTTTTAGCTTGTTTGTTTCTTTCTCTATTGTCGCAGCTTTTTCGTCACTCATCTTGAGGCTCGCCTTCAACTCCTTTATGTCTTTACTGACTAGTTCAAGTATGCCCAGTTTGTCATTAATTGATTTTAACAGATCGGTTACCACCATTACCATTCCTGGTGGTGAAAAGCTTAAATCGCCTGTGTCCGTCGAGGAGTTGTGTTTACTTTTGGAGATTGGTTCTCCTTGTTTACTCTCGGTCATGTTTGGGTGTTGCTTGTTTTCCTAATATTTGTCGATACATTTCTCTAGCCTTATGATTTGTTTTGTGTTTTTTTCCAGATTGAAGGTTATTACCCACCAGTATGTGAAGTGCTAATATTTAGTCTAACTTACGTTTTTATCTTGAGGTGATCTGCACCTGCTGTCTTCAGTCCGCCATCTTACTTGCAGTGGTACTTGCAGAGACTTACCTTCCTCCCTGAGAGGAGCATGTAGAGCTGGTGCACCGAGCCTCCGTTCCTGGTCAACTCCTTCCTCAGGGTCTTGGGGGAGGGTCGCGTCCAGCCGCCCGGCAGGGGAGCGTGGCCTCTGTCCAGGCGGTGGATGGTGCTGTCGGAGATGAAACGTGGCGAGCGCGGCTCCTGCAGCAGACTGCCCTCGCTGAGAGTGCGTCTGTGGAGGGCCCTCGGCTCGCCACCACCGCTCACGCCCTGCTCCCCGCTTCCTAAAGGGAGAGCACTCCCCGATGCTCCGACGTTCCAGGTCGTCTTCGTCACTGTCCTCCTCATCCTCCTCTTCTTCTTCTTCACCCACCTCCTCGGGAGAGGACGTGGGTTCTGTGTTGAAGGAGCGATCGAGGAAGCGCACGTCTGGCACCGTGACGGGGGAGGACGGAGAGGGGGATAGAGGTATGGCACCAATGCATGCGGTCTCCGACGTCTCGGAGGCGCTCTCCCCCTCGCCCTGCTGCCTCTCCTCGTCTCCCTCCTCCCTCTCCTTCCAGATGCCCATTCTCTCCAGGCTCATGCTTTTGCAGGTTTTACCCATGGTACACGGTGGGGGCGTGAGGGGCAACTTCTGTCCAAGGTCCTCTGTGCTGCGCACCACCAGGGGGGTGAGGTTCAGAGTCTTGGCTGGCAGGCTACTCATGCTGTAGGGTTCGGGGGAACGGCCATGTGAGGAGGGCTCTTCGGTGGCTTGACGGCCCAGACTTAGGATACCGAGCTCACAATGGACATCAGCCATTGGTTCCAACATCTGTCAACACACATCGGGGCAACACTCAGCTATTCAATCATTGGTTCATTGCTTTAGCTTTGCAGGCGATCTAGAATGTAGTTAATGTGCCTTTGAGATCGACTACATTGCAGTGGGATTGTGCATAATCCCTGAACTTACAAATCACCTCACATCCAAATAACTACTCATATCATTATGTGATCAAGATTAGACATTCTGCACCTTGCCTTGCTCAAATGGATATCCTCAGACAAAAGTTTTTAAAGTTAGAATGGACTTGATAAGAAACAAACATATTCACAATTCTATGTCTGAAGAGTCAGATACGCAGACAGTAGAAAAATTTCAAAAGTTTAAAAATGTCGGTAACTTTCCAAAATGTCCCTAGTTTTCCAGAAATCCTGGTTGAAAGATTCCTGGAATCAGGAGGGCATAAGCAGGAAATATGGAATTCTCCAACCTGAATTTCTGTAAGACCTGGGAATTTTGGGAAAGTTGGAAAGATTTTACCCTAGTAGGCAGTGTACCTGATCATGTACAAGTGTATCTCTCTGCTCCAGCTGCTTGTCGATGTTCTCCCGCAGGCACTGATGTACCCGCTTCTTCTGCTCCACCGTGTACGCCTCCAGACTGAACAGGCACTCACTCCTCTACAATAGACAACACAGAGAAATAGGGGTTGTATTTACTAGGACACACCGTAGCTAAACATTTTGAAACCTTTTTTGAGGCATGACACCGCCTTTTTCGAGGTGGTCCATTGTAAACAACAGCTAGTCGTGAATCGAATGCGGCATTCAACGTGTCAAAGCAAGGCTTTAGTAGACAGTGTACACATTTTATTTGAATTACATGTACACAGTTACCTCCAAAATGACCATTGATAAAGATTAGCAAAAATATAATATAAAATAAATAATAAAAATAGTATTGTCCTTCCAAATAGCCTATTTGCATGGAGGTGGCGTCTAATTGTAAATTTGGAGACTTGGTGACCCCAAGATGCAACCAAGTTCTGTAATTCTCCTGCGGCCCTTGGACTTTTCATTCCCTCCTGAACCATCCTTCTCACTGTGCGTGGGGACAAGATACACATTGTTCACAGCTACATAATCTGATTACAAAAAAACATACTGTAATCAGTAACATTACAAGCTAAAATGTCAGATGATTACCTCTTGGATTACTTTTAAAGGGCGACTGCACTTCCTGATTTGGCTTCGTTTTTCATCAATGCTCATAAAAAAATGATAACGGCCATAACTGAAGGCAAACAACAGTTGTCTTGGGGGTGTGGTTTGATGTGGGTGTTTCTTTGCTATTCAATCACAACAAACAAGTCAGTACAGTAGTGAGTACAGCGAGGTAAACTAAGCTAGCTTTGCTATGGAGAGAAAAACGTTTTCAAGTTGAGGACTTCTCCCCTCATGACTGACTTGCCATCTCTAGATGGTCAGCTAATTCAGTTATATGTGTAGGCTAAAGCCTGCGCTGACCTTGTGTTTAGCCAAGCTGACAGCAGCTAGCTAGCATAGTTTGGTGATAGCTGCAGCTGGCTATCCTATCAACTGATATTTCTCTGTCGCATCAGTTATGGCAAGATAGCAAGAGCCAGTGTCGGGAATGTGTTTCATAAGACAGTCGTTCTACAATGCCTTGCTACGAAAGTAGCTTGCAACTAAAAGTTTCAACGTTTAATCACGTCAAGTAATTACGTTATCGTGGAAACGATATAAACTACTGCGAGTTGAATGCCCGCGGTCTTCAGTAACTCAGCTGTCCTACAACACAATATTCTAGAACTGGCTTGTTTTGTCTCGTCTCTCCTCATATGCGCTGTTAGATCTTTCCTGGGAGACAAATCCCAAAACTAACATCCCTACAGGTGTAGGCTACATGTGGACATTGCACAAACATCACGCACCTTGAGTGTAGATACATCAACTACAAATCGATGGTTGTGTTCGTGTTACAAAGACAAAACAGTTCAAGTCTCCAGTGGGTGATAAAGTCCCTTCTATCTACAGTTTGTAATGTATTAGAAGTTATGGACATGTGCAGTCAAGTGGCAGGAGGGGTGGAGTGCATGACACTCCATCCTGGATATGACAGATTTTGCCTCATGGGTCCAGCAGGCTGTTTAATAATAACTACAGGCAGATGTGAGATGCAGGGGGATGGCACTCTTCTCATACTGAGTACCCCACAGAGTAATACAGTGGCTTGCGAAAGTATTCACCCCCCTTGGCATTTTTCCTATTTTGTTGCCTTACAACCTGGAATTAAAATTGTTTTTTTGGGGGGGGGGTTGTATCATTTGATTTACACAACATGCCTACCACTTTGAAGATGCAAAGTATTTTTTTTATTGTGAAACAAAGAAGAAAGAAGAAATAAGACAAAAGAACAGAAAACTTGAGCATGCATAACTATTCACCCCCCCTATTATTATCCTATTTACACTTTGTAGTCAATTCTGAGAGTAGAATTAATGTTTCTGACTCATATCGATGCGACTTAAGTAATTTAAAACCAGAGAAATTGGCTCTTAAGCGGCAGTTGACCTTTAAATTCAGAAAGGAAAGTTTGTGAAAAAATACATTATGAAACCTTTCTGTTTTCCCTTCTGACATTCAATTCAGCATTGAAAAAAGCATGCCTCATAAACGTATAGTAACAAAGTAATCAGATTACGTTACTGAGTTTGGGTAATCCAAAAGTTACGTTACTGATTACAATTTTGGAAAGGTAACTAGTAACGGATGCATTTAGAAAGTAACTTACCGAACAACTGTACACATGCGTCCTTTACCAGGCAAGTTTACCACTGCACCAGTGGTTTTAAACTTCTTAATTGTTGCCCTAATAGTGGTAAGTGGTATATTAGATTGTTCTATTGTTGTACCCATTGCCTGATTTATGAAAGTCAACAACCATTAGTCTTTTTATTTGTGAGTTCTTTGCCTTTCCCCATGCTGATGGATGTCAAGGGGATTTGACATGCGTGTTAACTCTTATTTATTTACCCCAGTGAAACAGGAAGCCATGGAAGGCCATAATACAGTTCCTTAGACTGAGATTAACTTTAAAAAGTACAGTGTTGTGGTCTAGCGTGTACCGCTGCAGCATGGGTTCGAATCCGCCCCACTGCTATTTCAGCACACTCCTGTCTCTCTCTTTCATCTCCATCTCTCTCTATCCAATAAACATACAACGACATATTTAAAAAGTAGAATGTTAACGCAGATTTAATTTTGTTTTAATTTATTTATACGAATCTTTAGGGGTGGCAATCATTTTTTTGATTTTTTGTTTTTTACTTGTTAAACAAAATCTCTTTCTCTAAACGATTGTATTTTTTTATCATACAATATAGCTCAGTATTTGTATTATTCATTTTACAGTCTTTTTTGTTTATCTTTATCAAGGGTGCCAATCATTTTGGAGGTGACTGTATATATCCCCAGTCCCCTGCAATGGGGAGTAACAACACATTTTTTTTTTTAATTGCATGGAATATATTTGTATACAATACAAATGTATCATCCAATCGGAAATGTGTCTTTTTGCTTTCTTATTCAAAACCCCCCTGACACCAGTCACACATATTGTATTGTTGGATTTGTATCTAATAAGTCAAATAATTCAAAACAAAAAATACAAATGCTCATTCATGTTTACCTCTGTCCAGTGGACGATGTACAACCTCAAAACATCAGCAGGAACTGTACAGGATGAGAAAAAAAAACAGACGTCTCACACAGCATAGAGAAACGGACCGCGAATCCCACAATCCTCAAATAGACATTGTTTATCCTTTGATCGCCACATCCAAAAATTCATCCTTCTATCACTTCCATCCGAGTACAGACGAGTACATTTGAGACTTCAGCCCTATAGGACATTCCCACGTAGGTCCCCCAGCTGTTGAGTGCTGCTATGGGGTGTAACAAGAAGGTCAAGGATACACAGCCCCCCCCCTTGTCCACCCAACCACCCCGCCTGCCTCTGTACTCCTCGGAGCCGGAGACAAGTCCATTGTTCGAAGCAGACACGGCATCAATGGGGCATCAGCTGAGCTCTAGTTACAAAGTGACTGAGGTCTCCACAGTCCCCAAATCCCCCCAGCCCCATCCCTCCAGCACAAAGAGGCCCCTTCAGCCAACAAAAACACAACACAGCGTGTGTGTACGCCTTTGTGCGTGTGTAAGTGTGTGCACATTGGTGTGCACTATGTGCATCTATGTCTAGCTCTCTGTGTGTGTGTGTGTGTGCTCACCATCCCGCAGGCGGAGGTGGTGGAGGTACAGGGGGCTCTGCAGCACATTACAGTGGCCTGCCTCGTCCTCCCTGGTCAGCAGCATCAGGTCTGTGTAGATGAGCAATGTCACCTGCAGGGGGAGACAGAGGGCAAGGCACTGAGTAAAGGAGCGTAGTACACGGAACAAAAATATAAACGCAGTTACAGTTCATATAACGAAATCAGTCATTAGGCCCTAATCTATGGATTTCACATGATTGGGAATACAGATATGCATCCGTTGGTCACAGATACCTTGAAAAAAAGGTAGGGGTGTTGATCATAAAACCAGTCATTTGCCTCATGCAGCGTGACACATCTCCTTCGCATAGAGTTGATCAGGATGTTGATTATGGAATGTTGTCCCACTTCTTTTCAATGGCTGTGCGAAGTTGCTGGATATTGGCAGGAACTGGAACATGTTGTCATACACGTCGATCCAGAGCATCACAAACATGCTCAATGGGTGACATGTCTGGTGAGTATGCAGGCCATGGAAGAACTGGGTCATTTTCAACATCCAGGAATTGTGTATAGATCCTTGCAACATGGGGCTGTGCATTATCATGCTCAAACATGAGGTGATGGCAGCAGATGAATGGCAGGACAATGGGCCTCAGGATCTCGTCTCTGTACATTCAAATTGCCATCAATAAAATGCAATTGTGTTCGTTGTCCATAGCTTATGCCTGCCCATACCATATCCCCACCACGGGGCACCTCTGTTCACAACGGTGACATTAGCAAACCGCTCGCCCACACAACGCCATACTGCCATCTGCCCGGTACAGGGATTCATCCGTGCCTACTGAAGATGGTTATGACGTCTAACTGTCTCAGAGTTCTACGGACAATTCCTTGGCTTGGTTTTTGCTCTGACATGCACTGTCAACTGTGGGACCTTATATAGACAGGTGTGTGCCATTCCAAATGATGTCCAATCAATTGAATTTACCACAGGTGGACTCCAATCAAATTGTAGAAAAATCTCAAGGATGATCAATGGAAACAGTATGCACCTGAGCTCAATTTCCAGCCTCATAGCAAAGGGTCTGAATATGTTTTATTTTTAATACATTTGCAAAAATAAAATAAAAAACTGCTTTCACTTTGTCATTATCGGGTATCGTGCGTAGATTGATGAGGATTTTTTTAAAATCCATTTTAGAATAAGGCTGTAAAGTAACAAGATGTTGAAAAAGTCAAGGGTCTGAATACTTTCCGAATGCACTGTAAATGAGATTTCTGTATTTCATTTTTAATACATTTACAAAACTTTCGCAAAACATGTTTTCACTTTGTCATTATGGGGTATTGTGTATAGATGGGTGAGAGAAATATATTGTTGTA